AGGGCAGAAGGATTTAATCGCCGTCAGGTCCGAAGTCCATACGACGCCCCAGCTCTGCGGATGTCTCGGGGGTATGGCACATGAATCGATTTTTTAAAAAAATTTCTGTCGGTGGACTTCGGTTGTTCATATCCCATTGTATCAATAGGTTTTTTTTAATAGCATCCTTGGTTGAACGGATTAAATGCCACGACAATATTTAATTTTCGACGACTTTATCAACTAAAACTAAATCCCAGAAATCTGGGTAAAAAAAACGGTACATTCCCCCAGCTGCGCCAGCCCGCTGACCAAAATCCTGGAAGACTGTGGGCTCGAGATCGCCAAGATGGCGGCTCCCTTCCAGGTCAGGGTGCTGCAGCTCAGCGCTGGGGAAAACCTCCAAAAYAAACTCTACAGACTCCAAAAAGGTAAGCACTTTGCCACAAAAATAAAACAACATACCTAATAAGCCTTGTTTCACCTAAACATTGCCTGGGAACGTTTGGAATAAGGTAAAAAGTTGGTTTAATTTTGCACAAATATTCCATCTTTCAATCTTTTTTTRACAAATGTTGTATGCTTTATGGTTTTCTGTTGTAAAACGCCACTGTTTTTGTACTTCTGAGAGGTTATTTTAATATTCTTTAGAGATGAATAGGTGTTACATTTGCTTTTGCTGCAATAGTATCGCCTTTTTGTTTTAATTTCTATCTAAAAACAAAGCTCTGATTTGTAGGTTTTTCTTACGTCAAGCTTTTATCTTGCTAAATAAATMAATCATTTTAATCTATTTAATCTTTAACAATTGTTTGTATATAGTAAGCTTATTATTATAATTATTATTTTGGCTGGCTTGATAAAAATCCTAAATGGTGTAGGAGTAGTGCACTCACCTCGCACCTCTGGTTTTGATTTCTGGACTTACACCACCGTGAGTTGACGGTGCCCTGAACTAGATCAACCCAGAGGTTGTTTCAGAGTTTGATCTGTGAGTTAGTACTACCCTGACTTAGATCAGCCCAGAGGTTGTTTCTGGGTTCGATCTGTGAGTTAGTTGTGCCCTGATGCGGATCAGCTAAGAGGTTGTTTCAGGGCTCAATCTGTAAGTTAGCTGTGCCCTGACTTACAGCAGATCAGCCAGGTTGTTCCAGGATTTGATTAAAACATTCAATGGATATCTTTTTACAGCAGTCTTGAGTCTTGATTTACTTGTCTTAAGTGTTTACCCTGGGGGGATGGGGTGGGGTTGACAAGTGTCTTAAGGCTTCAGACAGGCTGTTGTTTAAGGGAGTTAATAAGTGAAAGTGAAATGGTAGAGCAACAAAGAAATTGATGATGACTTTGACAGCAATTAAATGATAAATAAATGAAGAAGATTACTCCTTGTGTTTAATTATGTTTTTTCTTACCTTATCTAATCTATAAACTTTAGGAAAATTAGGATCAATATTGCAGCACTTCAGAATGCAGCTCAATTTGGAGGGCAAAACAATTGGTTTCAAATTTTCAGGAGATTGAAATTCCTTTGTTTTATCCTTCAAATTGAGCTCCTTTGATTTCACATGCAAGGGTGACACCGCTTCGGCAGATAACATGGCCTTTGTTTTGATAATTTATTATATCGTGCTCAACCTCATCCAATAATTGCATAATAGCACATCATCCAAAACTGTACTCAAGTCTCAAATTATACTAAATAAGATATTAATTAATCATTATTGTTGTAATTATACAGCTTCTCATTAATCCCATATAGGTAACTGTCCAATTATTTTCTTAATTGGACAGGTCTCGTTGATATGGGATTAATTAGGCAGCTATATAATTAATAGGTAATGGGACTCCATGCTGTCCAATCAAGAAATAATTAGACTCGAAGAATTCCTCTGACTGCCAAATTGGACTCGGCCTACGGCCTCATCCAATTTTGTCAGTCCTCTGAATTTTCCTCATCCAATTATTTCTTAATTGGACAGCATAGAGTCCTATTACATATACCAATTGGTTTTAGTATTTTTACACAAGTGCATATAATAAATTCAGTGTGCTTATTATGCTGTGATATTCACCTACGTGCTCACCCGCACACTCGTTTGTTGATTTGTGCTGCTTGCAGAGATAAATAGAATTTGAACAAAAAAACTTTGTCTCAGTCATTAAATTCACTTGTGTTTTCATTTATCTCGGTAAACATTCCCCAATATTCACTTCCCCTTTGGCAAATAATTGTTAATTATGTTTTCTCAAWGAAGAAACATTCCAGTGGTATTCATAATATGTTTTATTATATAGATATCGATGAAATACCAGGTT